GTCAATGCCTCTGTTATCGTACTGGCAAAGCTTTAAGTTGCACCAACGAACTCTCCAAATGCGCACAGCAGATAATAACAGTCTGATCAGAGAGTTTCCAAGTAGAGAGCTCAGCACCTGTTATAGTCCGGCACCATTTATCATACGTCTTTCTTTTAAGTGGCCTGCCTTCTCTATTGCTTTCTCGATATATGGCCCGAGTGGGCATTTCAGCTTGATTTTATTTGGACGTGATAAACACGAGAACAAGGAATTCGACGCTAATCTCGTTAGCGCTTGACGAAATGGAGGAGCACAGATTAGGTTAGGAGACAGGGTCAAAAGCACGGACGGAGAATGTTAACGTCCAGACCGTCTACAAATATGCATAAAATTCAAACGATGAGCTTAATTTGAATCGTGGTCGTTACTTGATATTGGAGTCCTTTTTCTATAAATTCTCTGTACGTAGAATACCGTATCATTTGTAATTTAAGTAACTACGCTTACAAGTCGAGGTACTAGGATCGCGAGGCGAGATATCGCCGACTTTACTTTTAACCCCTTCAAACCGGCTGATTTTTCCTTTCCTTAAATTGCATATGCAAGATAGTTTGACTTGGTGTTTGTATACTTTTACTCGTTACAGAGATGGTCGACGAACCGAACGTTGTAATAACCGGTGCAAACTGCATATTAACGTACATACACGGCTGCAAGTTTAGGTTCTAAACTGCATTATTCATTCCATTTCCGTAACATAGATGCTGACTTCCGGTCGTCTGGTAGTACAGCGATAGGCGGGTGCAGAAACGGTTGCAATTTTAGAGATATTTGAATGTCGAATTTTAGAAACTGTCCAATTGCGTACATATATTGAAGTTTTCCCATCCAAGTGGCGAGCAATCAAAAGTTCAGTTTTTATGGCTCATACAAATATGAAGCCTATAATATAATCTGAGCATGGGCTTCCGGCTCTGGCCTCACGGACTGCATAGTAAGCAAAATGAATCGACGGTTGCACTTTATTCTCAACCTGCAAGAGATATCGAAAGACAATTTTCACTGCAGCCATTACTTCGCAAAAACACAAATACTGATGATAAAATGCATATTCACCCTTTGGTATCCTGCATATGCATGATACTTAATCAGCAGCATCTCTCAGTCTTTTGCGTGATCCACCACCTTTCGTTGGAGTTGCTGGGCAATTACGGATGCGGCGTTCTTGGTTCTAAGGTCGCAGCTTTCCTTCACTCCATTCCTTGTGCCACACGTCAAAGCGGGTTGTCAAGACTCCGCGAATCACATGCATCGGGCGCATACACAGGTAGATAGGCGCATTACCATCACACTCGGAGCAGTAGTACGCCGTCGTGTGGGGCTTCGCGCCCTGCATCAGAGAGCAAACTTTACACGCACGCTGACGCCGCTTCGGCTGCGTATCTCGGTTCCTCCATTCATCCACCAGCTGTGCTACATGAGTAGAAGCGTGCCCCGCCACACTAGAACCCGACGTACCGGCGATCTGCTCCCTCTCACAAAACGTGTTTCCGTCGAACATGTCCACTTCTTGGAGCTGGGTGAGCTGCAAGTGGAGGCGCTTTATGAATTTAACGTGCGTCAACGGCTTTGAAGTCTTGTGCTTGTGGTAGGCCTTGTGTACAATGAAGGTGTTCACTATAGCGATATCAATAAGCCCCAGCACGAGGCTCTTGTAATACTTCCGAAAAGTCACAGCCCGCTGGAGGAAGTATCTTTGCAATCGGAGCTGGTCATGTACGTCGACACCCCCCATAAACTGATGGTAGTCCTTGATAACACGGGGGGCGACGACCTCGTGGTGTTCACCAGCTTTGTCTTTCCGAACGACTCTATCCAAATCCACACTCCCACCCGTAGCCAAGAAGTGCACAGGTTTTGAATCCATCCAGCAAATTGCGCGTAGGTCAGGTACTTTAGAAGACTCCACAATCTTACACGTCCCCCGATCCACATCTCGTGGCCGTGTTTTCATCTTGCAAATGATCTCTTTGCAGTACCCAACGCGATTTGTAATTATAGTGCCCACACAATAGTACCCCATCAGTAGTAGCTGAATCAGGAGAGCAACCGAGGTGTAGAAGCGATCGATGACAACCAGTCTCTTTGCGGGCAACGGAGCGTCACCGAACACTTCGCGGAGGTTTCGAACGACGGCGGCAGAGCCTTCCTTCTTGTCGAGCTGGGCAGCGTCGCTTGCATGATGTTTCTTGCCGCAGTATACTTTAAACCTGCATAATGCAGTTTAAACAGGAACATACTTTCATTAGTAAAGTGAATAATACAGGATAAGAAAATTTTAGAACAAAAAAAAACACCTGATGCAGTACGCCGTGTGTGCACTGCACAACATAAAGAGCTTCGTTCCCCACTTGTGCGGTTTTGCTGGCATGTAGACGCGCATCTTGTTGAATCTGCTGCGGCTTGGAAGCATGGCTTCATCAAATGAAAGCTCTGCAGGTGGCGCGTATCCTTCGCGAAACGTCCGCTGCAGCACTTCAACAACCTTGCGGATCTTCCAGGCTCGATCCGTGGTCGCTCTTGGGTCGTCGTTATCATTGGAGTGTAGATTTCTGCAGATATCCATAAATCGATCTCGTGCCATCACAGAACTGAACGCTCCACGTGGAATCGCCCCCTCGTCGGTGGGTTTCCAGTGGTTTGCCAGCTTTTCTCGGTTTGGGCAAATTGTTCGCGCGATCGGTAGTCCCACGAAGCGACACAGCTCGTGTGGTTTGATTGGAGGAACTGCTTGAAGCTCTTGTAGCACATCGCGCCGTGTCTTCTTCTTCGTGGCAGGATTCGCTTGACAGCGTCGCTTGTGGCGCTTGTAGGCATCGTCAACACGAGCGTGGAGCATATCTCTTTGGTACTTGTTTGAACAGACATCAACGTGCTGCCACAATGCAACCGGCATGAAGTAAAGAACAACGCCATAGGCGAGTCCCCACGATGCAGTACTTCAGGAGTGGGTCCGGAATAGCCTTGGTGAAGTCCCGGGTAGCTACTAGCGCCTTCAACAGGAACGTAAGGCGTCTGTAACTCCTCATACACATCCGGTTCTTGAATTGGGCCCCATCCATTAGTCGAAAACTCTCTCAGTGTTCTGTCCAGCAAGTTACCCGCCAACACAGCGTCGGTGCCTCCAAATCCATCCAGAAATTCTTTTGCCAGCGCAATATTCATCTCGTCTCGCTCAGGGTCCGGCTCCGATCCATCGGCCGCACTGGCATTTGATACCCAACCACTGCAATCAGACTGGGTATCTGTGACAACGTCGTCCCTTGCCGCTTCATCGCCAGATTCAATTGCATCATAGTTGGGGTCTCTTCCGCCCGGGGCGTCCACATTCAACCGGTCAGTTGTTTCTGCAAGTATATCTTCGTAACACAAGCATAAAAAATCGTTATCATGAATAATCAGTATAAGGTATCAAAAATATGCAGCATACGCACTATATCGCATTGTAAGACATACCCGTTTCGTTGTTCTCTTCAACAGACTCAACGCTGGAATACCCTTCGTCCCCCGATTCAACATTTTCTTCGTCACCTCCATGAGGACCTGGCAACACGATGGGGGTTTGAGCGACGACTTGAGTAACGGGTTCAGCTACTGGCACTGGCGCTTTTTCTTCATCAGATATGGCGTCGTCAACTATAGTGCATTCACAAGCGTTAGACTGCATCAATATGCATGTGGTCGATGAAAGATTCAGGATAGCAACGGGCTTCTTCGGGCGGATGTACTGCATGAGCTAATGCATAATGCTAGTTAGTTATCCTGCATATCCTGCATATCATATCATGAATATGCAACTGGTACTCACATGAGCGGCGACGTTTCTGCTTGTCCGTGGCAGGCGGCTTGGGCACTTTTCGAGTGCGCTTCACTTGCGTTTGTCGCGTCAAAGGCTACTGAGTACCTGAAGAAGGTTGAAGTGGAGACGTGGGCTCGGTGGTGGCCGCTTGAGCGGGTGGTGATCTTGTTGTGACAGCAGGATCAGCAGGAGGTGCTGGTGGCGTCTGGAATGGTCCAGAACCGGTAGACGAAGGCTTTTTGGAAGCTGTAACATCATACAAACAATTGGTTAGACTGTGTAGCCAGCAATCGCCACCATCTCGCTTACCACCACTGTAGTACTCCAACAGCTCTTCCTCCCCAAGAAAAAAGTCGATGCCTTTTGTGCCGTTAGCATGTCCGCCAGGGCGAACGTACTTCCATCTCGGATCTAAGTCCTTCGCTCGCGGTCTTACAGATGTTCATCCCTGCTTCTTCAGCTCCATCCACGCCACACCAAACGGGATGTTTTGACTGCTCACGTACTTGCCTCGGACAGCAACCATTTCATGCAGAGAGCCTGGCTCCGTTCTTTTCCAGCGCGAATTCTCGAACGAGTGGCTGGAGAGGGAGCGAAAAAATTACCTTGGTGTAAAACTCATGTTTACCACATAAACTTTTAAATCTTATATTCAAATTTAGAGAAATGTTATCTGTCTCGTCGTTTGTTATGTGTATCTTCTATGCTACCACACGTACAGAGAGCCTGCACTTGTAGGGTTCTTTTTGACTTAGATTTTGTATAGCCGAGGATTTGAAATACAAACTTTAAGTCATATTTGAGCTTAACCTGCATTATGCAGGTTAAGCATTTTTGAAAAGCTGCATATGCAGGCTCCCGGTTTGAAGGGGTTAAGAGTTTCCCTAGTATCGGATGGATTGGGTACGACTTACGACCTGAGAGTTCGATTCTCTCAATATTTGTCAAGCGTTTAAAAAAATCGACAAAAGTTTTACAAACCGGTGAGGTACCGGTACGATCTTAGACCGAAATAATTAGTCGAAGTGCTGTAGTCACTGGTCCACTGCTTCACTAAGTTTCGTAATCAGGTACGTATAAGTTATCGGGGGTCACAAACTCAATTTTAACTTATGAGAACAGTACATCACCTTTCGCAGCTCCAAGCGTACGTAGCAGTATGGCGGACGACGCTCCTGCGGCCTCCCCGCCGCCCCCTGCGTCCCCGTCTCCGCAGCCCTTCATCCAGACGCCACCAGACTCGCCTCAACATGCGGTAGAGTCTGCCTCCTCCATTCCGTTTAACGATTCGCTCCACCTGCGACTCAAGACACTGGACGAGCGCGTGTTCGATGTGGAGGCCACTTTGTCCATGTCGGTGGCCGACTTCCGAGCCAAGGTGGCACTGGCCACGGCCGTTCCGGTCCCGAGACAGCGACTTATCTACCGTGGCAAGCTGCTCAAGGACGGAGTAGCGCTGGCTGCGTACGACCTGCAGGACGGCCACACGGTGCACCTGGTGGCCAAGCCGCCAGCGAACTCGGCCACGAGCAGCACGACGCAGACGACCAGTGACAGCGCTCGGCCACGTGAGGGGAATGGCCAGGCCTGGAACTTGGCCAACCTACGCTCAGCCCTAAGACGGACGGGGGCCACGACAACTCCGCAGCCGTTGCCCATGCTAAGGGAGATCCTGGACGAAGTGGCCGAGGCTCCTCAAGAGGCGGCCGAGGGTATGAGAATTGGTGGCCTGAGTGGCCCGAGAGTACAGGAGTCGGCCATTGACTTGGAGCCTATTACACAGGGAATTTTGACCATGCGGACGGTGTTGTCGACTGTTACCCAAGAGCAGGAGGACGAGAGAGTTGAAGAGGACGCACAGGTGGAGCAACAGACAGTGGGCCAGGCAACGACGCGACGTGGCCCGCGACAATTCTTTGTTGGCCAGTGGCTCGACGTCAAGGACACAGTGAATCAGTGGCTCGAGTCCACTGTAATGGCCGTCGCCGACGGGAAAGTGCTGATCCATTATCATGGCTGGCCCACGAGATGGGACGAGTGGATCGACGTCGACTCGGACCGCATTGCCGCCTTTCGCACGCGTACTCTTCACGCACAAAATACACAGCGAATGTCGCCCACTCCTACGGCGAGAGTACCCAGTGCGCCTCGCGTAGGCGACAACAATGTACGTCGAATGGTGGTTAACGTGCGAGATCTGATGCGAGAAATGATGCCACACATCGACCACCTTGCCGGCCTGTGTGAAGAAGATCTGAGACGAGAGCAGGAGCGTGGCCAAGCTCCAACCGAGGTGGAATCAGACAGCAGTTCAGTAGATTATGTGGCCGTCCAGACGGGGCCGAGTGGGCCAACGTCAATGGATCCGGGCCAGGCTCGTGAGAGTGAGGTGTCGGAGGTGGCCCACATGGTGGCCCCTCTATTTGATCGCTTTGGCCGGTTGTTGATGGATTCAGCTCGTTATTTCGATCCGTTGCTACGTCCAGAGCTACGTGAGACCTCACAACGTCAACAGGAGCGCCACACAGCAGCCTTGCGTCGTAGCCACGGAGGCTCCGCTCAGCGACAAGCCGCCAGTGTTTCAGCCTCGATGGAAGCTCAGGACAACTCGCTGTCGATTCGCGATCTGATCGCCACGTCTCCAAACGCAGCCAGTGAGTCCACGCAGCCGAGACGAAGCATCGATGTACATATCCACGCGATCGTCGCGCCAGCTTCGCTTTCGTCTTTTGCGTCCCTGAGTCGAGGTAACAACGACACTCACAGCAACGAGAATGGCTCTACTCGACGCGTTCAAACGCCATCTACGCCCCCTATAGGACGTTCATTCGGGTTTGAAGACGGCCCAGACGAGGCCGACAACAGTCGAGTCCCTCTACTAGGCGCGTACCGTCATCGCAGTGACTCAAGTGAGTCGGATCAGCAGCAACGACGGGCAGTGGCCCGGGAACTGGACGATTTCTTGTCGGACGACTTCTTCGGCGCGTCATTCGGACATGAGGACGAGGACTCAGACGACGAGGCCAGTCACTCTGATGCTGTGCAGTCGACGTATCGACCGCCCTCGCCATCGGGTAGAATTTCTTCGCCACGGACTCCTCAGAGCGAGACAACCTCTCAGTTTTCTAGTGGCACCATTGGCGTCATTCCTGAAGTCGCTGCAGCCGAAGAGCGACTGCGAGCGGAGCAAGCGTCAAGCCAGACAAGGGAAGATGAGAATGGCCGAACGTCGTCTGCGTCGGCCTCGTCGTCGTCGAGTTTTCCTACGTTTCTCGAAGTGATGCGACGTACTCTCAGTGGCGTGCGGAACTTTGTCCACAGTGACGTTAGCAGTCCGTCGCAAGAGACGGGGAACTCCGTGGAGTTGGTGTCGGGCTTTTCTCTGCCGTCCTCTTCGTCGTCTTCGTCGATTTCCTCTGCGTCGTCGCTGTCCACGCCGCCAATGTCCCCGGCCTCCTACCCCTCGTTCGGAACTTCTATAAGCCGTCCTCGTAGTCCGAGTGACAGCAGCATCGACGAGGAGTTGGACCTGGACGAGGTGGACTAAAAAGACCAGTTTATTTGTCGTAGTTTTTGTAATACGACGCGAATTACTTCGCTGCGAAAAACGAAGTTGTATATTGAATAACTTTTTTATGGCGTACTGTCACTGCAGTTATTAGATGTTAGAGGGTCAACACCCGAGTGTTTTTAGAGCTCTCGTTTTAGAGCAGAAGTGCGTTCTCTTGTGTGGGAATGAAAGTTGAGATCCGTCTGGAATCACCGAAGCAATCCGATGCGCCACCTTCGTACGAGCTGGCACGAAGGATGCCAAGTCCGACGCCACGTAGGAAGCGGTCAAGTGTGACGAGAGTGGAAAATGTCGAGTCGTCCGCAGGTTCTGATGAAGACTGTGAAGAGCTAGACGATGAAAAAGATAATAAGGCCGAGGTACCAGATAGTAAACTTGAGTTGACCCGAAGTGAAGCTGGTGACAGCGAGGTTAGTACAGCAGATTCAAATGAGCTTGGCGAGGAGGATCGATGTGATGACGTAGGGCTAAAGAAGTTAAAGGACCGGTCTAAAAAGATGAAGAGAGAACGGGAGCGGCAAACCTTAAATTACTACGACCAGCATACGCACACTGTCATCACTCGTCTCCGTGCTGTGAACAAACGTTTGCAGCATCAACTGGAGCAACAAAACAAGTTAATTGCGACTATGACCGACGAGAAGAAGCAGCGTTTATTGCAGATCGAGAGCTTACGGGCTGAAGTGCAGATGCACAAGCAGACTCTGCGTGCTCTACATGTACATCGCACCCATAAGACGCACGAGGTATCACTACCGGCCGTACCAAAGCCCCCGCAACAAGAGAACTCACGAGAGGAGAAAGCTGACAACTCAAGAGCTAAAGTACCACACTCTACTATTTCTCCGCGTCGACGACCGCCGAGCTCCAGCCCACGGGTACAAACAACAGCAGACTACCAAGGAAGACCTTGCAGCGGGCGACAGTCCTACGATACAAACTTGCAAATATACATGACGAAACTGGAGAAATTTGACGAAGAACGCAAAGAAGTACAGCAGCGTCACGCGCATCAACTAGCCAATTATTCTCACGAGCTTTCACGATTAGAGCGTCTTCTGGAGAAGGCGCACACTGCAATCCAGGAGAAAGAAAATGAACTGCGGCTCCATCGAACGCGTCAACTCTATTGCCACACGCCCACTAGACCGAGGACCACGTCAACTCTTGCGAGGAGAAGAAAAAGTAACCCTGGAAATACTTTCACGCCAAATGGAGACACTTTTCAAATGCAGAATATTTTCTCGGATGATATTTGGAAAGAGTTATTACCACTTCCTCCCAGCGACAAGCCGGTTGAGACGATCTCTGCCTCGTCTTCATCCCTCACGTCGATGTCGTTTACGACGCATGTGGGTCAAGCTTTCGAGCAGCTACTACGTCATCAGCTCGTTGCGTTACACGACAGTACGTTGGATCGCAGTACTCGAGATTGGCTGCAAGAAGTCAAGCTTTGTGGCTCGCAGATGGTGTCAGTACACCAATCGTTCCAGGTCATGGCTCGCTCGCTTCAACGTGTGGCTGAGTGCACCCACATGTACCAATTGGCAGAGACGTTAACGGAAGAATGTCGAGAGTTGATGCATGCCGAACAAGTTTTAGTACTGGTAGTTGACAAGTCCGAGCACGAATTCTGGTGTCGTCTGTCGAGAACTGAAAACAACACAGAGAAAATGGCAACTGTACGCTCTGCGTTGCCACCTTTGAGCAATTCATCAAGCGCCAAAAGCAACATTTCGGCTTCAGTACCCTGTGGATTGGCGGCGTTCGTGTATCATACAAGGCGAGCTATACTGTTACCTGCAGGACACATGACGAAGCACCAAAGTTACTCTACGGCCCCCGACAACGCCGATCGTTTGGTGACGCACCCACACGCGTCCACTCTTCTCGTACCGATTGAACACGACAACAACGTGGTAGCGGTCGTTCAGGTCTCTGGGAAACTCACTGAAGTGCAGGCGTTGGGGCTGTCGATCGCTCTCGAGAAATGCGACGCTTTCACGCCTCAAGACCAGGCGTTGCTAACGCTGTTATGTCATTTTTCAAGTGGATTATTCCCCAAAGTCGCGTATTTCACCGACGTCGAAAGCAACAAAGTGAACGAAGAAACGTTCATTCGATTGGCGCCACAGATTTTCACGTGTCTCCACTTCGACCAACTGGGCAAAGTTGTGATTGAAAATGCGAAAAACATCTTGGACGCCGACCGTTGTTCTCTTTTCGTAGCTGACACGGCAACACGAACGCTACACAACTGGCACAGCGACATCAGCGGCGCTGGGGTTAAAGTGTACCAGAGGTCAGCGCAGAAAGTTAACGCTGGCATGACGATTCATTTCGGCCAAGGTATCGTCGGTTTAGTCGCTGAAACGCAAGAAAGTATCAACATTCCAGATGCCTACGAAGACCCACGGTTTAACTCAGCGTGGGACCAGAAGACGCACTATCGCACGAAGAGTATGCTCACGGTGCCTATTATTTCAAATACCTTAGAGAAGCCTCGTCCTGATAAAACTGAAGACTCTTCAGAGGACTCTGCAAGAGACCAGACGCTGCTTGGTGTGGTTCAGGTCATCAACAAGTCTGGAGGAGCCCCCTTCCGTTCCAAAGACGAGTTTTTGCTCCAAACAATCTCGAAACTCATCGCGTTAGCCATCGAGAACTCGCAATTGTTCCAAAGAAACCAGGAATTGTGCTGGAATGTGGGCAAGTTGATCGGTGATGGGGACATTGTGGAAGCCATCGTGAGTCTTGGCATGGCAGCGGAGCAGATTATCGGCGTTCAAGGCGCTGCAGTCTACGTCGTAGATCCAGATACGAACGAACTTGTGACGTTCCACCACAAACGTCGACATCGAATTGCAGTTTCTGAAGCTTCCTATGCTGGATCTTTGATGGAAGAAGCTGTACGTCTACAGCAGCTAACGATTGTCAATGACACGACAAAGACGGGGTCTTTTAACGCGTTTGTTGACAGTCTCAATGGGATTTCCGCTCGCAACGTGCTGTTCGCTCCGCTACTGGTGGAAGAAGCGGAAGGGATTATCCCTGGCATGAATAGACTCGTCAAAAACGCCGACACTGGAGCGTCATTCTCTGTAGACTCGGGTCAGAGAATGGTGGGCTTACTGCAGCTGGTCAACACTACACGACGCAAAACTCACTTCGACGAACACGATTTGTTCCTGTCTATTGTCCAGAGCCAAAGTTGCAGCGTTCTGGCGGCAATTCTCGAGAAACAACGGATGTTACGTCAAAAAGAGCAAATTGCGCTGTTATTGGATGCGTCCATGTCATTTTTTAAAGAAATGAGTGTTGTCGGCGTCATCAACGCAGTCTACAACGCCTGTGTGAGCATCTTTGACGCCAGTACCACGGCCCACCTCTTTGTTTATGACGAAGGCGCCAATCCACTTGACAAGATGCACGAACGTCACATGTGGTCGTCGAAGATATCGCCTCAAGCTGCAGCAGCGCTCGCACCGCATAACTCAAGTACAACTGCGCTCTATCAAGGCACGAGTATGAGTTTTATCCCGTCGCTAGGAGCACAGTCACGAAAACTGTCGGTGGTGACAGATCAGACACTGCGTGCACCGACAAGTGAGGGGTTATTTCAACAAGTCCTTATTAGGGGTAGCGCCGTTATCGTGAAACAGTGGATCGATGATGGAGAAGACGAAGAAGAAGAAGGAACGACTATTAGTCAGCACAGCTCAAAGCCTATCTATACGTCACGTCGCGAGAGATCCAGAGTGGATAACTACACGATGAAAGCTACTCGCTCCGATACTCGACTTGGATTTACGCGTCATTCCGTAGTCGCGTGTCCCGTTTGGAGCAGCTATGGCCAAGAAATCGTCGGTGTCCTGGTTCTGCTTTTCCCTCGAGATCATCCTGCTGTTGCTGCGGGGTCTCGAAGCGAACAACTCAGTACTCTTCCCATTCTAACTCGACAGATCTCAGGTGCACTTAGCGTGTGTCACGACCTTCGTACGGTGTCTACTCGGGCTCGAAAGATGCAAAATATGCTGGAACTGTCCCGACAAGCCCCGAAAGCTGCTGCGTCTCTCACTCTAACATCACGAGGCCACCTCGGATCGTTCTCTCAGCCTGTAAACCTCTGCTCTCGAGCGTTCAACTCTCGAGCTCTTACCGCCGTTCTACATCCAACAGCTGCTTCAAAACTGACAGTTAATTCACTGTATATGGACGACCAAGGGAATCGTTGGGGCTTCCAGATCTCCGGTGCCACTGCGCATGAAATGAATTGCGATCATTACGCCCAATGGATCGGCAGACACGTGGCACTTCCTGTGGGTCGTACAGAAGCAGAAGTGTTTGGGAAACTTCGCATGGACTTACAGGGCGTCTACACACGCAAGGAAACGATCACTGGTGTTATTGACACTCGTCAACGTCAAGTTGATGATGACGATTCCTCCGACGAGATGGAGTCCCGAGTTGATGCAACTCTATCGCGATCGTTGTTATTGAAACTCCGTCAGCTGTTATGGGAGTATACAGATGCAACGTGGCAAGTGGACGACCGCCGTGCCAGTGGTGTGTTGTTTGGTGAAAAAAAGATGCTTTCAAGATGCGAGTTTGAGCAGACATTACGAGATGCTGGAGTCTCTCTGGAAGTTGCGGAATGGGACCAGCTTTACGCTTGCTTTCAAGATGACAGTGGGGGCGTAGATGTGGAGACTATGTTGACAGCATTGCGACCACAACTTAAAAGGTTCCCAGTGATAACGTACGAGCTAGCACCTGTTCTAGACTCCGTGACCCAGATTGTTGTTAGCGTGCAGATGCTTCTTTTTAGCTGACATTTTCTTAGTAAAAAGTAACAGCTACATCGAAGTAAAAGCTCTTAAGGTTTTAAATAAAATGAATTCGCCATTGCAAAGATTGCATGTCATTAATAACTGCAAATGTGTCGGTAAACCTGCTCCAAGTGGTCGGTACTGAAAGAGCTAACTCTTTCAGTACCGATCACTAACTCTTTTGACTTTTCACTTAAGTTTTCACTTTTTTTGCTTCACTCTAAAAACCTCCTTCGAAGTAACTCTCTTAACTCTCTCAGTACCATTTAACTTGAACTCTCTTTCAGGTTGCTACTGAAATAACCTATTTTTGGCACTGTTTCCATTTTTCTGAAAAATCGTTGAATTTCTTTTCAACGACCGTTGCTTGCCAATTATGTACATGCATGCCGCTATGAATTGTGCACATGAAGTGCACAGCGCGTGCCTCTGGAGGCTGCACTCCAGTCCTGCTCCCTGCAATGTCATCGTCATGACGCACGGGCCAATTAACTCCCCACGTCATGCCATGACTCAGGGCGCATTTCCGCCGTTCAATTGTTGCTCCAACGTTCCCAACGTATCCACACACCGCAACGTCCGCCAACACCGCGTGAAATTGCAGGTCCAAATTCGATGTCAACGTCGTCGGCGCATCCCCTTTTTCGTCCACATCAGCGCATACGTATCACTTATCCTCACACTTGCATTCACAAAGAATACTACCTCTACATCCTAATACCCGTTAATTATCCGGATTCACATGTCAACGAAGAGCTCCGATGTGCGTCATTCGCCAAGTGTCCTCGCCCCACGCAAGTCGACTAGCTCTACGACGATGGCGGAGGCTGCAGCTGCAGCTACCGGTCAGCCCCAGGCGGCGGCCAACACCAAGTATTACATGAAGAACGCTGTGTTCTCCATGATCTCGCTGTATCTAGCGCACCAGTTCGCCGGCTACATCTCCAATCGCGAAGACCCCATCGCTTGCGACCTGCACGTGAACGACCACTCGTGGTTCGGTGAGAGGCGCTACGAGTCGCTGCGGTTCTTCGACCCCAAGAAGACTCACCACGAGACGCAGTACGTGGCCATGCGTGACGGTGTCGACCTGGCGGTGGACTCGTATCTGGCCGACTACCTCTGGGAAAAGCAGCAACAGGTGCCCACTGTGCTCTTCCCCACACGTCACGGCCGTGGCTACACGCTCGACTTCCCCTTCAACATGTTCGCACGGTACGAGCGTAAGTTCACCAACCCACGCGTCAACGCGTACGTGCAACGCTTCGTCACGAACGGATACGCTTGGGTCTCGGTGGATGTGCGCGGTACTGGCGCCTCGGCCGGCACGAAGGCGTTCGACTTTGCCGACGCTGAAGTGCAAGACGCTTACGACGTCATCGAGTGGATCACCAAGCAGCCGTGGAGTAACGGAGACGTCGCTGTCTTCGGCCAGGGACTGGACGGAGTCGGTGCTCTCCTTGCAGCTGCTAGTGGCCATCCCGCGCTCAAGGCGGTCTCGGTGAACAGTGCGCCTGTCGATGTCTTCCAGGACGCGCTGTTCCCTGGAGGCGTAAAGAACGACAAGGCTCTGAGCGACTGGGCGTCGTTCACAGGCGCCACCGATCGGCAGATTCGCTGGAACAACATCCCCACGTTTAAACCCCGTCTTATGCTCAAACATTTCGGTGGTGAAGTCTACCGTGTGGACGAGGATGACGCGAAGTTCGATAATTACATTTATCAGCACTCGAAGAACCCGGATCTGGCCAAAGAACTTAAAGACGTGCACTTCCGTGATGATAAACTGGCTTCCGTTGGGGTAACAGCAGAGCAACTGGATGCCATCCGCCATCTCGGTGCAATTGCCGCCTCTGGCGTCGCCTTGCAGACATCCGCTGGCTTCTTTGACATGGGCGTGGCTCGCTCTAGTATCCTACTGTTTCAATACCTGACCAACACTCTGGATGCCGACACGGCTTCGTTGCTACCGAAGCTGCCGAAGGAGGCGCTGGAAGCCATTGAGAAGGACGCCGCACACCACCGACTCACACTTGGACCTTGGAGTCACGCGGGTGTGGACAACGCCGATCCGTTCGCTCAGTCCAAGCAGAAATGTTTCTACCACTTGGACGAAGTGAGTCGCTTCTTCGACCACCACATGTATACTAACCGTCGTAAGATCACTAAGATCGAGGACGAACTACCTGTGCACTACTTCACTATGGCGCACAACCGCTGGAAGGAGGCGAGTTCGTGGCCACCGTCGTATCTCAGTGACGAGACGTTCTACCTTGGCGCCAACAACGAGTTCCAGCCCTCACCAGAGAGTGAAACGCGCACACTGAGTCACAATGTCACGGTGAAGCCAACACTGGGCGCAGTGTCGCGCTGGAACATGCTGGACCACCTCTTCGGTCTGCGTCCCATGTACTACCACGACCGCACGCCTCTGGCGGACCACTACGCTACGTTTCTCACCCCTGAGTTGCCTCTAACGGAGATCACGGGCGAAGCGGAACTGCGTCTCTTCTTCTCAGTAGACCAGCCCGACGTGAACCTTGTGGCGTATCTGGAAGATGTGGACTACACCGCTCCGTTCCCGAACGAGAACAAGCGTCCAGGCGTCACGTACATCACTGAGGCCTTGCTGAACCCTGTACACAAGACTATCCGCCCAGACTCGAGTGTGCACTCGTTCAAGCGCGCAGACTCGCGTAAGATCGTGCCTGGTCAAGTATACGAGGCTGTTTTCCGCTTCCAGCCGACCTCGTACGTTGTGAAACGCGACCACCAGCTCCGCGTGTCTGTGGGTGTTGCCAGTCCGCCGGATTTCGGTCCGGCTGGCGAGAAGGAGGCCACAGAGCTTACTATCCACTTCGGAGGCGCCTACCCTACCAAGCTTACTCTTCCGTCGTATACAGGTGTATACAATGCCAATGTGGTACCTCGCGCTGAAGTGGTGGACGACCTGGAGTTAATCCCGACGGAATCTACTGAGAAACCCTCGGATCAGGACGAAGTGGACGAGTTCGCTGAGGTCAAGGACGAATTGTAGGCAACGAAGTGGAATGAGAGTCTAGTACACCGATCGATTACACTTCGTTTATATTTCGAAGTAATACTACGTGGTATGTTGTGTGCTTTTTATCCTACTACCGTCTTACCCCGCATATAAGGCATATGTGTTCTAAATAAATTCGGGATTCGCTCGACATACCACCTATCTAATTAGAACACATGTGTAAAACACAAGGCTGTACCCACCAATGAATATTCTTGAGAGCTCCCAACCCTTCTGAACAAACTAGTCGGTGCTGCTGTTACTTAGCTTTAATTCTCTTAATTAATAATTTACACAGTCATGAGTGCTGAGCGACGTAGCTATAGTATCCACGAGAAACTTGCTGTTCTAGCAGACTCGGACAGGCGTGAAAGGTCACGGCTTTGCTGCTCTTAGCAAGAAGCACAGCGTGGCGGTTTGAACCCACGCCGATCGCGTAGGAGGGTCAAGCCTAAACGACCAAGCCAAATTCCAGGACCCACAGACTTGCTTCTTCAAAGTCAAACAATTTGTTCGTTGTACAACACATAGGCTTTCTAAATGAATATAACACACAAGCAGCGTTGTATTCATTTACAGCACCTATGCCTTATATGCGGGGTAAGACGGTAGTACTATTGGTACTACATTTTGCTGTAGTACTACTGTAGTAGTAGTAGTCTAAAAATTTCCTCCTTCGGTGATCACTACGAATGGCTCGATTAGCTTTTTAAAGTCAGCTCGATGGCCTTCCTTCTCGAGCGCGGTTGAACTTGGCTCACTGTGCTCCCATGTCGGGGCCTTGATCGTGCTTGTGGCCGCGTCACGAATCATTCCTGGTCGTAATCGAGTATACACCGAAAAGCAGCAGCTTGATCATTAAATGATTTTTTTCTCATGAGCCGAATGACCAGGTCACGTTTCCCGACCGCTGATAGCGCGCCTTCCCCTCTAATACAGAGTGAGTGACATGAGTACTCTTTTGGGGGCAGTCCCATGCTCTTGGCTGTGCTCTTAATGATGCTGACCACCTGGGCCGTATTGATTGTTTCTCTCTGAGAGATAGAAGAAGGAAATGGACCCACGGTCACATTTTCGAAACGCCACCTTGCCCGCACCTCTAAACAGTACTGTACTGCTAAGTCGTCATCTGAACGGTATCCGTGATGTACACATTTCCGGTCACATCATATTTCCGGTCGAGTCAACCTTGTATTATTGGTTAATCTATTTGGTTGGCTAGACGTGGATCATCCACTGGGTGTCTCATTTCGTTTGAGGTACGATGCAAAAATTTTCACGCCATTCAAGCTCACAGGGGCCAAGCAAATATCCAGCATCAGAGCAGGGCATGCAGCTCGTGAAGAAAGGAATGTATATCCGGAGCAAAGGTTGGGGTGGGGTGGGGTGGGGGGTTGGGGGTGGGGTAAGAATCTGTGCGGCCGCGTAGAACGAAATGTGCTCGTCAAGTGCCACCGGACCCATGCTGACCTACCTCTCAAAAGGATCTGAGGAAGGTATGTTTGAAGTGATCGATCACAGGGCTTCGCGCGGGTTTTGTGTTGGGTTTCAAGAGTCCCACTTCCTTATCAGGCAGGCTACCATCGTTATAGCCCTCCGCCTTGTTGCGGACACGTTTCCAGGTCGCACCTTCGTTCAAAGATGGATCGCAAAGCATGAAGATCATATCTCTTTCCGGAAGGCTCGAATGCTAGAGAAAAACGAGCTGAAGCTTCTACAGAGGAAGTAGGGCGATATTACTACGGAAATCTAGAAGAAGCTAGTGACAAACTAAAATTGCGCAACTGCCTGGCCCAGCTTTGGAATTGTGATGAGACTGGGGAATGGCGCTACCAGCAGCGAGTAATTACACCTCGGGGTATGCCTGACAACATTCAACGCTTCACGGCCCGCAAGAATGCTAGCATTTTGGGGTGTATCAATGCAGCTGGAGGTCATATGTCTTCCATGCATATTTTCGCTGGACAGAGACAAAAGGTGGAGTGGATGGAGGACGCACCGCCGGATGCTATTGTCGCCTGGGTCGATCTGTAGTATTGCATGTTAGTATTGAGCAAAACAACCACAAATTTGCATTTTGTAAGCCACAGGACTTTAATTTTATCTTAAAGTTATTGTGGGTCATCAGGTGGCCGAAAAATACGTTACATACGGATAGTGTTTAATCATAACGCCCTGGGCAATCCGGTCGCCTTTTTAATCTCGAATAGAATTTCCATGGAATGGGCGTTTGTAGCTTCCAGTCTGACTGGCTTGCCTTGCTTGTCCCTCACGACCAAGTTGTGTGTCTTCATGCAGTGTACCCTGTCTTTTCCGGTTGATCTATCGATGGTTACTGGACCCCAGAGCTCTGAGCATCTAACCAAGACGAAGAAGCCCAAAACGATTGATCCTTAAAGAAGCCGCCCTCGTAGGTCGCTGAGATCGATAATCTTTCGCATCTTAAGCAGCATTGATGTTGTAACTGGCTGTTACCGGACCACCCGACTGCTCGTGCGTTTGCACCTGAGCGACAAGCTCCAATTCCGGACCATGGTAATCAAGCTTAGCATTACGGACTGCTGTGTGTGCGAAGGTCACTGCTGCGATTTATCCCTTCGGATGCCTGATACTTGTTTCCTATCCTTGACTTGATGTGTCCCTCTGAGGCACACAGTCTGGAGAGTAGTCAGATCATCCTTGCTTATTGTGCCCTGGGTAGCTCATCGATCCACACGGAGAATCCAAAGTCATTACCGAAAGACTCCCAAAACTTGAAGGTCTGCTATAATGTCCGAGTTTTCTTTCTGCGATCGATGCTCTTTAGAGATGTCGAGTCTTCTTCTCGATTCGCTGCTGTCGTCGCTCATTGTCTGTATGAAGTTACAGTAGTTAGTCAATGTGTGAACATCGCAATTCAGTGTCTACTCCATGCTCCTTATGCCTTTGAAGGTGTGTGTCAAGAAATGCAGACGATGATGAGCTTGGCTCAGGGCGCATTTGCGTAGGTCGTCCTACCCGATTGTGGATTGACACTTGATCTTGTCGATGATTTTGGTGAGTCAACTACAGTCGCTCAATCCTGGAAGTGGGCTCAAGCAGACGCATAGGAACGCCTGCGAACTCGTTTGCGAAGACCAACTGTATCCACCTGATCAGGTCCTTCAGAAGGACTCCGTCATTAGCAGACCTCGTCTAAAAAGGGATTAACCACGTTTCCGGTCTTGTTTTGGTGTGGGTTAATCATGCTATTCAAAGTGGGAAATGTGAGACCTTTAATGGATTCGAGTTTACCAACTATCGGTGGCTAATTGACCCAGGCGTTTCTGTTGCTTGCAGCGCATAATTCCATCCAGCGAGAGGTCGGACAGTAACGTTCTCTTATCTGTCTTTTCACAGCCCAGTACCGAGCAATCGGACACGACTGAGGCTGTGTTGGGAAACAGAGAAGCCAGTCCACCACAGAAGTGAGTCAAGTGTGGAAAACGCGATGACGAGCCGCCGATAGCCCACGCCTCATCAGCACTTGCAAGACAATGATTGAGCGCTGACATTTCGTTTAAAAAGCTTGCTGTCACTGTAAAAGCCTTTCGGCTGCTTGAGCTCATGCCCTATTTGATAGACGCCTTTCTCTCCAAAACACTGTAAAGGCGCGGTTTATCGATGTTAATGACTGCAGCAAGATCAGGCATGGATAGCGCTACCAGCCCCTTTGGTGTGACTGGATATGAAAGGCAAGGTACCTTATTAGAGTGTAGATGTTGCTGCACGCAACCACACGCAGTCTTGCAGCTGCAGAAGCTAGAGTGCGATTTATATCGTCATCAAGTTTTGAGATCTCTTCACACACCCCTTCCAGCCCCTCCACAAACACTAAAGCCGCGTTGTGTAAAATTATGAAGTCCCCTTCGGGTTCATGGTATTTCTTCCCCTTTTTCAGCAACGCCACCTCTTTTAACAAATCGTTCTCTGCCAAAGGACCTTTCACACCGGAGATAGTACACAGCTTGCTCAGCAACCTCTCAAAACGATCTTGCTGCTGTTGTATAAGTGTAGATAATCATTGAAGAGATACGAAAACCGCATTTGCCTATAGCTACCTCTCTCAATGCAAGCAAAAACGTCCACCACACCAAACGCGGGCTGCACGTGGCTTTCTTATCTACCAGGTATCCACGAATGGTAAATCCGTGCACGCAAAGCTAATCCGATACATTGTACATCGATAGCCAGGGTGCTCGATCCCTCGTGTGGTACTATGTTACCCACACAGGAAGCGCATTTCGCGTCCTCCTCTTCAGTTATGCTCTGGGCGACCTCGTTTGACACTGTGTTACCCACACAGGATGCATATTCGACGTCTTCCTCTTCAGGGTCTGGGCGACCGTGTGTAGGTCGCTGTTACCCACCTTGGACACGCTATTACAAGCGTTCGTGACAGCTGCAGCTGTCTGCGGAACTATGTTACCCGCTTGTGGACCTAAGTTTTCCACTTGGCCAGCGCCTCCTCTGGGTACCGCAACCATCGAAGCATCCTCGGAGTCGTCATATAAATCGACGGCTCCCTGGCTTCTGGCAGCGACCCTTGAGGATGGCTTGGGGAAAGTCCGCCTGCGATGTCTCTCCGCGGGACATTCACGCTTGAAGTGTCCCAGCTTCTTGCAGCCAAAGCATCGAATGTCGCGCTGCTCGGCGGACCCGACTTCCACGGGATTTGGTCCGGTGGGGTTTTCTCGACCGGGATTCGACACAGAATTCCATGGCCATGCTGAGGCCGACGTGCGCGCCTACCGATAGCTGTATTTTTCTTTGGGACCACTTGAATCACCTCCTGGAGGGTGCTTGACTGCGCCCGGAACAGATGAGCGCGCACCGGATCCACCCGAAGGCCGTCCATGAACACAGTCACATCGATGTGTTCGCTGAGTGGGTTGCCCACTAGCGACGCCGTGAGCTCCAGCATCTCTTGGTCTTACTCGTGCAGCTCGCGCCTTCCTTGCTTGCATGAGAGGAAGCGCAAATGCTGTCGGTACTCGTAGTTCGCCGGAAGGAAGCTGTTCGCACAGCTGAGCCCAGGATGTGAAACATCCAGGCGATGTTGCCTCCCGCGTGTTCGCCCAGCTGCTAGCTCGACCGCTAAGGTTGGAAAGCACAAAAGCAACGCGGAGTTGCTCGGTCGAGATCAAAGCCGCGTCCATCGCGAGCTCTACCTCTCGAACCCAGAAGTGAAGGTTCGCACCTTCTTTCCCTTCATACGGCTTCACCTTCAGCCGTATTGGCTTCGGGGTGTGGCGGCTTGTCTCCGCCGCCGGAGCCTGCAAATTTCCCCGCACAAGTGCGATTAGCCCTCGCTTGTAGGTGTCAAAAGCATTGACATGCTTCTTCTGCTCAGCCGGTGTCGACGCTACCAAGCTCCGTAGAGCCTCCATCCCGAAGACTCCCGAACCGACTCAAACTGTGAGTCGTTCAGATGAGATAAGTCGTCCTATCCATGGCGATGAGTCTCAGATAGGTCCAGGTAGTCTACCCGCGTTGGCGTGGATTGACTAAAAGTGCAACCAAGTGTGACGGGGTCACACAGCCCCTTGCGCTATAGGAAGTCGATTAGTATTTCACAGGTTTAAGGGGGCGAAGTGACCAATTTAAGGTAAGTTGTGAGCTGAATGTATTTACAGGTAGGCTAAGCTTGAGAAACTATAAGTCACCTATAGTAAAGCTATGTCATCAGCCAATGGTTGGCCTTTGACGCCCCTGGTATTATGTACATGTAGCAGGTATCCCGAAGTGCTAATGTGTCACACTTCATGTAGCATATGGGGATTCGTACCCCTTTACACGATCTGATTGGCTACTCGGTCCGTGGTGAGCACTCTGGTAAAAAGCTGCATGTACCGCTGGAATGAGACCAATTCGTGCTATGTGATGCTGTTTTACGTTGTATCGGTCTGAGCACGCACAAACGCAAAAGGAAAAAATAGAAGCTCTCCTCAACATAGTCATCGACAGGAGTTTTTGCAGCTCATTTCTTAAGCATAGGTCAACAAAACACTGCTCTGTTTAAGGGCCGTGTTTAGTGATTTTAATCTATCGGACAATAATGTCACACAATAATAGGGTCAGACTTTGAAAAAAATCCGGGGTTTCTAAAAGCATGACTCGCTAATTACAATCGGGCATGAGCTTTGAAAACAGCGCGTAGATACTGCGGCTACGAAGCAGACGCACTACAGTACTTGCAGATCACTTTAATTTTTAGGCTTTGGAGAAAAAGGTAAGAAGTAAATAAAAGTAAGGATTGAAAACTTAAGACTATTAAACGAACAAGCAGTTTCAATATAGCGCCCCGGAGGGGATTTTACTTACTTACAAGTACTATGATCTGAAAGAGCTAGAGTATGCATTTAAGACCACGACCGAGTAGAGTCTTGGATTACGATGGACTTGCAGAAAATGAAAAAATAAGATCGTCAGATGATTAAAAATAAACAAACTTACTTGGAAGTAGATTCTGATGTTTTAATATAGCGCCACTTATTAATGAGTAGTACTGTGAAAGTTGAAAAAAGAAGAAATCCATTTTACCAAATTACTACCGCTTACGCAGCGTACAAGTTGAACGCCGAGGACGTCGTCAACGTCAACCCCTTCGCTGCCATATCCTTCAAGAATTGCTGCGCAAAACAACGGGCCACAAAGTCAAGTTACAGATTATTCAAGTGGAACATCTACATAGCATGTTCTTACCTCAGCTTCAGCCTCGAATCCAGCCACCGGCGACGAACAATCCGTCAGAATTACAAGATCACTCAGTCTTTCCACCGGCCAATTGTCCACAAGATCGCGGACAGTGAAGTTCACGCAGTGTGAAAGCGCCTCACCCACAATGACGAGCTTGCCAGCGCGTTGTAGCGACTTGATCAGCGCCGTATTCAAGCTGCAAACCGATAAAATTAAAATAGTACTAAGTATTTCGAAATATTTCTACGACCTCTTCAATGGTTCATCACCTCGTGGACGGATCGTAGGGCAGTTCATACTCCGCTTTCAAAGCAGAATAATGCTCAGTTAGCGGATTGCTGCCTTTCATCACGTATTGGATCGGCTTCAGCGACGCCTTCGTCCACTCAAGCGCAGACTCGAGCACGTCTGGAACGATATTGTGGCCCGGTGATCCGATAATACAGTGCTCCGGCCAGATTGTGAGTGAGAACTTGCCACTAGCCTCGAGTGATTGAGTGTACTCCAGCACATATTCGTTCAAGCTCGAGTCTCGTGGCTTCCACACTCCGTCCGTGATGTTCTGCGCGTAGATCGGCGTGAACGGACTTGGAGATTTCCCAGCCTCGTTCTCCCAGAAGATTCCATGTGCGATGTGGTAGCGTTGGTGCGAGTCCATGGTCAGGACGACTTGTGATAGCTCGGCTGTGTGGCTCGAGATAAACGCAGCAATTCGAGCAGCGTCTGCGTTGGCAGAGTCGATAGCGAGGGACCCTCCCGGATGGAAGCTCACTTGCTGGTCGACAACGAGGATGCCGAGTCCGCCTTCGGGTATTTCATTCGCCAACCGAGTAGACTTCATTATGTCGCTCTCGACCCCAGCAGTGCAGTCCGTATCGTCGACTGTTGCAGTGATTGTAGATAGCAGCAACGCAGCACAGGAAGCAACCCAACCGAGTTTGAAGTGGAGCATGGAGTAGAGCTTGATAGTACCAAGTAATCGGTAGTTTTGAAAATGTGAAATGTGGCTTCGAGCAGCAAGACCCGTCGACCCACGTACACACGCAGACGTTGTATTACATTTTTACGGTTCATTTTTTATGCAAGATTTATTTATCTGACCATGATACCCGACGGTGTTGGGTACCATGGTCAGTTGTGCTGATTTCTGTTAACAGATCCTTTGAAGTATCTGCGCGTTTGGTCTCCGGCTGACAGCCCCAGGGTGACCAAAGTCTTCCACAGATTGTTAGAGGAAAAGTCTTGAGCCGCATAACACGCGATCACGCGACGCAAGTCGCTCAGCATCTCGCTGAGTGTGGTCTGCCTCGCCGTTCTGGTGACTTTGGTAACGGAAGCAAACCGCTCCATGGTGTTTCACACTCTCGGGGCCCACAGCGTCAGCGCGACCCCATCCAGGCGGTGGAAGGACAGACATACTCTCTGTCGTTTCCGAAGCTGCCTCGTCACCGGAGTACGTGCTTATCATATATATTTTTTTATTTAGCAAATTCATTGTATATTTTTTTACTTGTTGTAGACTTCCTGCTGGAAGAACGCTACATACCGACCTGGTATCACTTCAGCCTTCATTTAACGCGAGTTGTGCCAGTATTTGTACGAGTTCACGCTCATCGTAGATACTCAAATTCAATGGTGGATATTGTCGATCAGGCTGTAGTGGATCTAAGAGATTTAGCCAGCCCAGTCGCTTAACGCATTCTTCTTGGTCTTCTAACGACAATCCGTCGAATATCTACACGAAAGCAACACGTTAATTATCCTAAGTGCGGTACGTGTTACCGATATGCTTACGTGGATAAAGTTCTCGAGATCGACGATACGAGAGAAAACCAGACAAGCCGCTCGAGCTCGAGCTCTTACTGCGTTAGGGAATGCTGCTACCAGCTCTTGTGCTTGGACGCTAGTAAGCCAGCGATCTGCCACCAGAATCTCCAGTAACTGTAATTTCTGCTGTAACCCTCCCACCGTATTCGTGAGTCGATCCATCGTTTGGCCCGCGATGCTTCGTCTTTTATTCCGATTCCGTTTTTCAGTAGCTCCATGATCTCTCACAAACCTCCTCACTGAGGAGTCCTCAGTACTTCCCAGCGCAGTAAAGCTTGCGTCCTCTTCTTCTCATTGGACGGAGTTACCGGTAGCTCTTCCTCTTTGTCGCCACAGATCGCGGAGATCTCACTATCGTCTGGATGTTGTGCCAATACGACTACCAGCTGTTCGAATCGACGTTGACTCAGTGGCTTCGTGCCTCGTGGAGGTCGAGTTGTACTCACGTAATAGAAGAAAAGCTTGGAAGGCAGCACAGAGCGTTCAGCCGGTCCTAGCAGCGTATGGAGGATGTAAGAGCTAGAGAGCAATACCGGTTCGCCAAGTGGTGACGTAGGGTTCGTCACGGGGGGATTGTTCTCCATGTGTCGATCGCTTCTAAAAGTAGGAGCCATTTAAATGTAAATACACTTAAATGTCAACTTTAGGAAACTAATCAGGAAGTAACGTAAACACGTAAGTGCCGGGCAAAAGGCCGCGACAGGACTGCGGTGTCTGGCGAGGCTGCTCTTCTCTGCTGCTCTCTGATGAGCGGCAGGCGTCAAAACGCAAAGTGTTGAGCAGCCTCCGCCAGAACACCGCTGTACCGCAAAAGTAGATTAGTATACAAATAGCAAATAAGTCAATACTAAACTCTAGATAAATGCACTCTCGTTTGAGTACACCATCTTGGCAGCGCACAGCCAACGATGTCCTTGTGCATACAGTCCTTGGTATAGTCCTTCGCCATTGCACGCATGTGTACTCAGTGTAGCCGGTTGTAGTGCAGCCGCAAGCTGCACTGCCAGGCGCATGAGTGTCCTTGGGATGTGTCTTTGCAGACACTGGCAGTGGACGGTGGCTCGTAGATGGGGGCACCGGACACTGGCAGACTGCAATGCACTGGCGCTCGACACGCAGGTAAGTTTTATAGCTCACACTCCCACTTGATCTCGGCGACGCACTTGGAAGTCGACGCGATCACACACGCGCATCCTAGTTGCCGCCATAGTCCTAGTAGTAGCGTAGTCGCAGCTCAAAGACAATAGCAGTCCACTCAGTAACAGTACTCCCACTCGATCGCCCTCGTCTTCATCAATGTCGCTCAGGTACAGCCTCCGCATCAACAGCAGTAGTCAACGCAGTAGCAGTAGTCGTAGTTGTAGCCATGTCCTCGGATACGTTGTCATCGCTCGACACAATAGGTAAGACTTTCATAGCCTTGCGAAAGTGCGTGAACTTCACCACTGCAAGTGCCTTTGTCATTATATCGGCCACCATCTCATCAGTTCCGATGTGTTGGGTTGTAAGTTGCTTCAACTCCACATGGCGTCTGATCATGTGGGACTTGTTATCGATATGTTTCGATTTCGAATGTTTGCCAGGTTTCGCAGTTAAGGCAATGGCTCCTTGATTGTCTCCCAGTAGTTGAGGTACTGGATGCTTCCAGCTCAACTCTTTGCATAGGCCAGCAAGCCACAACAAGTCCTTGGTCGCCTCTGCCATTGCTACGTACTCAGCTTCACAGGTACTAAGCGCGTTGATCTCTTGCTTGCGAGATGCGTAGGAGATGACGTTGTCGTCCAGCATAGTGATGTAGCCACTGATACTCCGTCGATCCACAGGGTCGTTCGCATAATCAGCATCAGAGTAGCCACTAACTTGCACATCAGTCTGTAGCTTCACATTCATCACTAGTCCGTAGTCACATGTAGCCTTCAGGTAACGCAGCACCCTCTTGGCTTGTGCGAAATGCATATGATCATAGCTCGCAAGATACTTGCCCAGGTGTCGGGTAGCATGAGCTATGTCAGGTCTCGATGCACTAACGAGGTACTGGAGAGCACCCACCAGTTCTCTGTAGGGAAGATACTCCTTCGAAGCAGGCACGTCTGTCTTCGAGGGCGTCGTAGCTTCTGGTGTAGCGCAGCCATTACAGTTCTCCATATGAAAACGCTTCAACACCTCCAGTACGTACTGCTTCTGGCAGTACACTATTTGCCGGCGCGGCCGGTCAATCAGGATCTCGACGCCTAAGAGATATTTGACTGTGCCCATCGTCGTGAGCTCGAATATCTCTTGCAGTGAGGCAGCGATTGTGGCACACAGGTCACGTGAACCCATCAGCAGTAGATCGTCCACGTAAACAGTCAGTAGCAACTTGACTTCACCATCCTTCCTCAATGTATATAGGCCGTAGTCAGAGTCCGTCCTAGTAAAGCCCATCGCAACAAGCTTCGCATGAAGCGTGCGATTCCAAACGTTCGGTGCTTGCTTCAGTCCGTACAGGCTCTTCAACAATCTGCAAATGGACCCAGGTCCATCCACCTGGAAGCCAGGAGGCTACTCCATGAAGACAGTCTCGTCCAAGTCTCCATACAGAAAAGCCGTCTTCACGTCAAATTGCAACACCTCCCAACCTCTTTGTACAGCGTAGTGGATAGCCGCACGTATGGTTTCGAACCGGATCACAGGTGCATAGGTCTCAGAGTAGTTAATCCCAAGTTGTTGTTTGAATCCATGGATCACTAGTCGCGCCTTGAAACGTTTGATTCGTCCACGCTCATCTCGCTTCACAGCAAAGACCCACCTACACGTTATCACCTTCACTTTCTTGGCATCTTTGCGGGGTACAAGTTTCCAGGTCTTGTGACCCTTCAACGATTGAAGTTCCACCAACATTGCAGCTCTCCACTGCTGCCAGTACTTGCTTGCACGTGCTTGTTTGTACGTCGTCGGAATCTGCACATCCGTAGTCATAGCCTGCACTAGGCCTACCACGTAATCCGACAATCGAACATTCGCCTTCTGCTTCCTTCTTGGTCGCTTTAGGCAGGGCTCTCTTGATGGAGATTGAATCTCGAAGCCACTTGTCTCCTTCTCCACCATTGCAGGTTTCTTCTTTGTTCTGCGTCTCTTGCGCTTCCTCACTTCCAAACCTTCCTCGGTTTCTTCCGTAGGATCCTGCAACACGGCTGGTGCTGCAACACCAGCAGTCTCCGCACTGTCCTTGCTCACAGGTGCGTCAACGATTGACAAACTTCCACTTGAACTTAACTCAGTTTCTGCAGGTTCGTCAGCAAGTGGTACCGCCTCAAGTGGCTTCTCCGCACTAGAGATGCCGTCACTCCAACCTGGAAGGTACGTTTCCATGTTGGTCTTGATGCGCGCCACAGGTACAGTCTCGCGTAGAGTATGATCACCATCAAAGAATGCGTTCTCTAATAGATGCTTCATGTAGATGCCATCGGTTGTGAATTCTTCATGGAACTTCACATTCCCACTACGAGCTGTCACCACTTGAGCTGTCACCAGGTCAATGAACTTGTAGCCTAGGGTCGATTCGCTATAACCCAGTAATAGACACAGTCTTGCCCTCGCTTCCAGCTTTTCTTTCGCTTGTCTTGACTCAGGGGGGATACGCACGTGTGCCAGACAGCCCCAAGTACGCAAATCATCCAGCATGGGCTCCGATTCGTACAGTTTCTGGTGCGGGGACACCAATCCTAAAGGCTTGGTGGGTAGCCAGTTTAACGTCGTCACCACATGCAGGAAGGCTTCTCCCCACAAGGAGTTGGGCATGTGTGTAGCCATCAGCATCGCTCTGATTCTTGGTAGAACCACACCATTAGCACGCTCCACAATGCCGTTCTCTTGAGGAGAATAGGCGTTCGTAAACTGCTGCTCAATCCCTTGGTCGACGCAGTAGTCACTTAGCTCCTTGCTTGCAAATTCACCTCCTTGGTCAGAGTGTAGTCGTCGCACCTTCTTCTCAGGAAAACGAGTTCGCAGCCTGTTCAGTAGGACCTTGATGTGAAACGTTGCTTCACTCTTCTTCTTGAGTAGGAACGGCCACTTGTACCTTGTAGACTCATCTATGATAAAGAGAAACATTGTAGCTCCATCCACAGACTGTTCGTTCACAGAGCAAATGTCCATCATGAGAGTCTCCAGAGGTTCGGACTTCCGCGATGGAATCCGTTTATAAGACATTCGTTTTGCCTTCCTGGCAGCACAAGCAACGCACTCGTAGGAAGTCAGACCTTTTGCATTCATCTTAACTCCAACATCGAGTTTGTTTGCCAACACTTTCACCGTCTCCATGCTCATATGACCAAATCGTTGGTGAAGCAGCTCCATGGCTTTCTTGCTGTCCATGTCCTCTTTTAGAGCCGCCATCACCATTACTCCAGTCACTTTTTCTGCACGTAGTCGGTAGATACTGTCACGCATCATGAACTTGAGTGATGTGCTTGGCTTGGAGATCCAAGCAGTCTGTTGGTCCTCTGAGCATGTCAACTTGAAGTTGCCCTTCGTTTGTAGGTAGCCCAAACTAATGATGTTCACCTTCGCGTTCGGTGTGTACACCACGTCGTCCAGGAGACGGTCCTCGAGCTGGCCAGTTGCCTGGTTAACAACACGCAATAGCACAGACCCACAAACAGAAGTGTGTTCAGTTGTGCCATTCGCAAAGTCAAGTCGACTAGCTTGGTCTTCCCTTATGGTAGTAAACAATGACAGGTCACCACAGACATTTGCCTGGGATCCTGAATCAAGTATCCACTCCACAAACTCAGACTGAGCTGATTGCATACCTTGGTTCTGGTTCACAGCGTTGACTTGACGAGAGCTGGGTGGTCTGTTCTCACGACGGTCTTCAAATCGACGCGGAGACATGTTCCGCCCTTGGAAATTGTCACGTCGAGGTGAAGGTCCTCGTCCTCTCGAAGGATTGTCACGCCACTGCTGCTGCGGAGACGACGGTCCATAGCGACTCAGTCGATCATCGCGTTGGGGTGGCGGCTCATAGCGACTCGGTCTCTCGTTACGCCACTGCTGCTGACGCGGTGGAGATCGATAACGCCCTGGATTCCCTCTTGGTTCACATCCTCGCATTGACGGAGAACGGCCTCTTCCTCTTGGTGGAGTTCGTTCTCGATTGAAGAATCGGGGCGGTGACCGAC